AAAATCTAAGATCTAAAAATACTCAGATAAAATTACAGATAATGAAAGGAATAAAAAGAAATACGTGTATTAAAAATACGAGTTAAAAACCATAGGCTTCTTTAAAAAGATAAGTCTATAAATGTCTTTTAAAAATAGCGATTGATGGAGATTTACGAATGCTAAGAGGCAAGGTATTCCATTGCCTTGGCACAGCAATGCTGAACGCCCGATCTCCATAAGTCTTTAGTTTAGCCAGTGGCACAGTGAGCAGTTCTTGCCCACTGTCACGTAAAGACCGAGAGCACTTACGATGGCTCAGGACACTAGAAATGTAAGAGGGTGCTTTGCCATTGAGTGCTTTATAGACTAATAACAGGAGCTTAAAAATAATACGTGAATGTACGGGGAGTCAGTGTAGCTTGAACGTTATTGTGGTAATCGAATCATACTTCCTTGTTAACGTGACAATGCGAGCTGCCGTATTCTGAACACGCTGTAATCTACAAACTAAGTATTTTTGAATACCATATAGAAGTGAGTTACAGTAGTCAAGCTTAGAACTAATAAAAGCATGGATGAGAATTTGCGCAGAGTCCTGGGTGAGATATTTGCGGATCTTTGATACATTCCTGAGATGATACATTGCCAGAAATAGTGGACATTTCGCGCCCGTGATTAATTGTCAGCGGAATCTCATTTCCAAAATGGCGGACAAAAACGATCGTAGTCAGGGAAAGCGTATCCCTGCGATTTTTTAAATAATTTGAGCTCTGTGGATCTGTTTTACGAAGAAAAAAGCTGGAATGAAACTTCTTGCAAGAAAATGTTAGGTTTATACTCGGCCGAGCGGCTGATAGCAACAAAACAGTACGCGACTGTACCTTTCGTGACATTTTCGTGACATTTTCGTGACAATTTTGTTTTAAAACCAAGCCTGGTAAGCTAATCGAGGATTTTAAAATGCCTGGAACCTAGTTTATATCCCGTGAAGCATCTCTGGAGTTGTAGCAACAACCAAAATGGCGATTCGGTGAGGTTTGCAGTTGTGAAGCTTTGTCCGACCGAAATAAGTCATTCGCAACTATGGCGTCCATTACTGGACTACAGATAGAAAACCGAGGGAAATAATGCGCCTTTGGAAGTATTTTCCAGTGCAAAAATCGTCCTTTTAACGACTGTTTTGGAAACATCTTCCATTGCAGAAGTGATATCGAGTCGTGCAAATTTACTTCAGTGAAGGGTTTATCCTCTAATCGACGAGTATTTCGCATGACTTCGTCAAGATTTTAAGACAATGTATGGAGAAATGGAGCGTACAACGAGAGATAAAAGTGGCCACTTCGGGAAGTAAGTAAACCTACTTCTAATTAGCTATTTTTAACCCAGATGCGAAGGTTACACAGCGCTTAACATGTTTCGAGTCGTGCACCGAACAGCCGTGAGCTCATAATCGATGTATTTGAAAAAGTTTCCTTTTCTCCATACATTTTCTTATACGAATTCGCAGCCATTGTGGCCTTGGTGCGCACGCGCAACCGCCATCTTGTCCCTAATTTCTGGCAATGATCTGGCTCACTACATATCTTTTTGACATGTTGTTCCATGCAAAAGCAATTGACCATGATGACTCCTAGGTTACGTACAGACAAATTAGGAGCAACGAACTCATCTCCAACCCGAACATATTCAAGATTTGGTATATTTCGAAATTTGGAGCTAATGACGGCAAGTTCAGTTTTGTCTTGATTGAGTTTCAATAGGTTTTTGCACATCCAAAGGTCGATTTCTTCAACACAGCGCTCAACACGCAACTTTGCCTCATCAAGATCAGCACAGCAATCGGTATTGAAGGAAATATATAGTTGCGTGTCATCAGCGTACAGATGGTATAGTAAGTCATGGTTCTTGATTATATCAGCAATCGGCGCAGTATAGACAAGGTACAGCAGTGGGCCCAGTACAGACCCCTGAGGCACCCCACGCAACAACGGTCGCCTTGATGACATGCCCCCCTTCTACATTAACAAACTGTTGGCGGGAGGTTAGGTAGGACTTAAACCAGGCCAATGCAGTTCCCTTCACCCCAAAACGGTTCGAGAGTCGAGATATTAGTATTGCATGATCCACCGTGTCAAATGCTGCTGAAAGGTCTAATAAAAGTAATATGACCGACTTGTTTTGATCCAAGGAACACAAGATGTCGTTATGTACTCTAAGTAGTGCTGTTTCAGTTGAGTGAATTTGTTTGCATGCTGACTGAAACGTCTCGCCAAGATGGTTGGTCATAACATGTTTCGTCAGTTGAACTGCAACAGACTTTTCAATCAGCTTAGAAATAAACTTTAAATTCGAGATTGGCCGAAAGTTTGTGAACTGCTTGTAGTCAGCAGTTGGTTAAGAAGACCTTAATGTTATAACCAACCCTTACAACATTTGCCCTTTAATAAATATATATAATATCATGGGTGAAAAATTACTCCCTAATTTTGGCGCGAAAAGTTCAGCGTTAATTTATTATTTCACATATACATGTGATGTCAACTTTCTGCACTTCCCACTGCCAAGATGGCGTCTAAGTTTTAAAGTGTTATAAAAGAAGATGTCAGGGAATGGAAAGACGCTTTAGAAAACCGCACATGAAAGGACATATCAAGGCGGATTCTGACTGGTATTCAGTTTTATATACGTAAGTCTGGTAATCTAGAATATTTTGTATGATTACTAAGGATTCTAATATACATAAACCAGTCAGGAATGACTCAGGGGCACCCAACGAGAATATAATTCAAAACCAGTTATATTAAACATAACACTGTTAAACGTATTTTAGTATTAGAACGGTACATATAGGCATATTTTTACCCCCTAAAAATTTTTCATCTGTGCGGATTTCCTAGCTGAAAGTCTAGTGATTCCAAAATTACAGGGATCAAAACTTACGTATTCGAAAATTTCAGCCAGAAAAAAGGCTCCCGAAAATTGTAGGTGACCTTTTTAGGGTATAAATCCGTCAAAAATGGGCAATTATACCATTTTTCAGATGTTCGAAAATCCTAGGAGAGGGAGACAAGCAAGAAATTTTGGAAAAAATGTTCCGAAAATTCTAGATCTCAAATCGTCTTCCGAACAGATATTTTCCGAAAATTGTCGTTGGATGTCCCTGATGACTCGACTAAGCATGATACAGCACGCTTCAGAACATTCCTGAATATTACACAACAATCCTAAAAGTTTTTTTAAATCAAATCCTGGAAATTTTAGCTGGTGGAATACGGCCGGAATCCTGAGCTTTGCTATCTGGAATTCAGCCCTAGGAATCCGAAATCCCGCTAACGTTTAGACTTACGACATGTGAAGTTGTAGACTTTGCAATCACTTGTATCAGCCTTACTTAAGGCCTGACGTACCTTAAATCAAACAAACCGAGCAAAAATTTAAATCGAAATCAATCGAACTCATCGTTCCATTGAATTCGATTGATGTCGGCAATCGAAAATCGAACACGGAATTCCTTGTGTCGAGTTCGATAATCGAACAAATACAACATAATCTGCCAACTGAACCGTTCTAGCTGAACTGAACCGTTTTAGCTGGTGGAATACGGCCGGAATCCTGAGCTTTGCTATCTGGAATTCAGCCCTAGGAATCCGAAATCCCGCTAACGTTTAGACTTACGACATGTGAAGTTGTAGACTTTGCAATCACTTGTATCAGCCTTACTTAAGGCCTGACGTACCTTAAATCAAACAAACCGAGCAAAAATTTAAATCGAAATCAATCGAACTCATCGTTCCATTGAATTCGATTGATGTCGGCAATCGAAAATCGAACACGGAATTCCTTGTGTCGAGTTCGATAATCGAACAAATGCAACATAATCTGCCAACTGAACCGTTCGAGTTTGTTCCATGACCGAACAAATTGTTGACTTTAACCCAAATCCTAGCCTCGAGAAAGACTGATATGTGTAGTGAATACAAAGCCATCAATTGAAAGGAGTCTTTCAGCCAGTAATTAGCCGGTCTTGGCCACCAGACCAGCTGCCATTCTCCTATTTTTCTTAAATCGGACAGTTTGCTTATTTGAAAAGGAAATTATAATCAAGCCATTACTGAGAATAGCCAAACGTATCAGTCTTAATTGGACAGTTCCAAAGTTGTTTAAAACTTAAGGGATAATAGCTTTGCTGAAAATATCTGCCGACTAGCTACCAGCTATATAATTATAACAAATTTATCCATTCAACGGTATTGATGTATTTACTACACGAGGAAATTGACAACACTGACTGAGGTAATATAAAATATTGCTAACAATGCAAGTGGATCTCAAAGGGGTAGTAGCGTCGACGCTTAACGGTCAATTTTTTTTAGTTGTACACCTGAAGGTGCTGAGAGCAACCTGTAACTTTAAAATAGAACAGGAAAGCCACCAAAACAAACGAAAGAGTTCAGTGGCCACACCCTAAAGAGAAACTGGATTTCTACTACCTCGATCTGGATCAGTAAAAACTAAAAAACAGCAAACTGAAATTCTCATGACGAAGACCAAAAACAAAACAAAAAATATAAAGTAAAAAAAACAAACAAACAAACAAACAAACAAAACAAAACAAACAAACCTGGACGTTTTTGGTCATATGCCCCACTGATATTTCGGCTTGTAAAACAAACCTTCGTCGACATGCCGGGCACAACTTAATAATATAAAGGAAAGCACTCGTTCTAGTTTATTTTGCCGGTTAGATTTCATAGGAAGAAATTTTGCTTTTTCAGATAGCAAGTATCGGATTCATTATTGAAATCAACAAGGAAAATGAAAACTTTGCAATCGTCTTCTTTTCAATGCAACTTCATTCAACTGGATTAAACTAAAGGAATCTGCCTTAATTTATAGTGAGACCGACGTACATAACCCGATCTATTTTCATCCCTCGTCATCACACTTAAAATTTTATTCTCAGTTGGATCTTTGAAGATGATAGTAGGATGAAATCCCTGATCATATTTCTTATTTTCCTAATCATTCCTGGCCTCTCCTTCAGTCGTGCGAAACCACCTATAGCACTGTCCCCCCATTGAGGCTGTCATCACAACAAAATACAGCTTCAGCCCACTGGAATAACATATTCCAGTGATACCTTTTCCTTCTTGGTATCCCTCCTGTATTTCATCATTTGTTGCTTTCCAGGTTCTACAAGTAAACCACTTCTGCTGTTTACCATGGTATTCTTTAATGTCTTTTGTCATGATGATGTAAAATGTTGAATATAGGGCAGCACATGAAGTTATACTAAGACCGTCATCCCATTGTTTCTTAATATCATCCGTGCTTTCTATCATGACCTGTTTCGTGCCGTAGCCAGCCATAAAGAACACCCCGAATCCAACCTTCTCATCACATGCAAGGGAGTATATCCTCTTTGACCTACCATTCACCCCTTCACATTCAGTAATTGCGAACGCAAGAAACTCGTCGTAGTTTCTTCTAATTCCCCAAGCTGTCGCAGGTCTTGGATTGTAAAGTTTTGAACTCGCAAAAATTCCTGAGAAGGTCCAATCATGCATGCTCTGGGAAATCAAAATCTTTTGACTATTGAATATATGGCTACTGATGAAATCAGCGTAATCAATTGTACCATAGCCACTGGTGATGGGGAAGTTCTGTATATTTCCGCCACTATACATGGGCTCTGTTCTTGGGCGTAGTTTCTTTCCAGTCATGTACAGTGTTAGATCCCCTCCTTCATCTACGAAAAATTTTGAAAAGTGCAGAAGAATGTCAGTAGAATTTCAACCCCGATATAACAAACCTCTATATAACGAAGTCATCGTATATAGAACCATTGTTCTTTACCCCAATAATACAGTCAAACCTCTCCACAACGGCCACCTTAGTGGGGACAGAAGAAATTGGCCGTTATGGAGCGGCCGCGGGCCGTTATGGGGAGGTAGGGGTGTTATGTTTCAATTTTTTTTTTAAGGAAGTGCAACATGTTTATAGTGCCAAGTTCATGCTTACCGTATCCCGTAATGGTAATCCAATCATAAACGATATAAAGAGATAAAATATACAAGGAAAGCTTCTATAATCTTTTGAATCAAAATGTTATCATGACAAAACGAGCAAGTCTCGCAATATTTTCTATAAGTATTGTAGACAATTTAAGACGGAATCCACCAGGAAATTGAGTAATTTGAATTTTCAGTGGACAAACACCTTGTACCAGAACAGTTTAAAGAATATTGCATTCCTTTTAAAATTTTACCTTTTTCAAGGGCTAAAGATTTAATTGGTAATCTGTAGTAACACCAAAAAAAATTTCTCATGGGAGCCCGAGAAAACAAATGTCAAATTTCACAAAATTACATCTTACACATGAAATTTTCAGAAGTTTACCAGTGTTTTCACAGTTCTTGAAATTTGACTTTTATTTTCCCGGACACCCATGAGAAAATTTCTTTGGTGTTATTACAGATGACTAATTACATCTTTAGCCCTTGAAAAATCTAAAAAAGAATGCCATTTTCTTTAAATTATTCTAGTACAAGGGTTTTGTCCACTGATTGTTAAAATTACTCAAGTTCCTGGTGGATTCCGTCTTAAGCTTACTGCAGCAGAATGAATAGAACACAATCAAAATACGATTGGCATTAAACCTCGACGCGCCATACGGATCAAATATAATGACCATTTCTCAATTTTTCGCCAGTGGCTGAAAATTGAAACTGGCCGTTGTCGAGAGGTTATTTTGGCAGTTAATTGGGGACGCGCTTTAGTGGCTGTTGCCGTCGTAGAGAGGTTTAAAGAATTATCAATGTCATGGACTGTCCGCGGGGACGAAAAAAAAAAAACCCTTGTAGAGAGGTGGCCGTTAGTGGAGGCTCAACCGTTTTAATGACATGTGGAAAAGAACCTCGATATAACGAAATGCCAAGGGAATGGCAAAATTTGTTCGACATAACGGGAATTCGTTATATCGGACTTTCTCTTCATATATAATTTACGATATCACTGAGGTTGACAACAAAATCGTTCGTTATACCGGGGTTGCACTGTATGGCGAACAAATTTTGCCAATCCCTTGGCTCTTTGTTATATCGAGGCTCCACTGTTAATAGAAATAACCACGATGGGCATTTTCCATATAGCTTAATATTTAAGTGCAGACTTCGAGCTGGAAACGACGCCACTGGCTTAGTTTAGATATATGAATATGCTATTTACGCCTAAAAATATAATTTAATATTTCCTTTTTTCATATTAATAAAGCATGTGAAACATACACACCTTTGGTATCAAGAGCCGTTGAATACTCCGGACATGCTGCTAGGCAGTGGAAACCAGGAATGCCTTTCCGCAGACAGAAATTTGCCCAGTGGCCACTGTAACAAGCATCACTGAATATCAGTGGGTAAAAACAGCCCACAGGCACCATGTCAAAAATCTCTTGGATACTGATTGTACCATCTGCAAAGCACCAGTTTCCAGTACCGATCTCACCATGCCCAGTATAGTATAACATAGGATGGGCCCTTGTTTGCTTGCATTTTTTAATGACCATGGTGACATGCCGGAGAGCTGCGTCCTTACTGAGATAAAGATCTTTAACAGTATTGAACAGCTTTGTTCCAACTACATCTTCCATGTTGACCAAATCTCGACTCACACCAGCAAGAAATGCGCCATTCCCATCACCCCGTACATCTCGAGCTCTCCTTTTAGAAATTTTAATTTCTTTTGGTGGATCAGTAGCTCCTGAGAGTAGTAACCACAGTGACTCCTCCTCTGTCGGTCTCCACTCTGACCAACAATCGATTCGGCCAACATATGGCCCCTGAGCAATTGCTGAGCCAGCAAATAACGGCATGGTGCTGCTACGAAAAAACAATGTCTTAGAACGTTGTGCTGTTTTCGCTCATAATCTGATCACTAACGATACATTCTACTTTTTCGCCAGATAGTTTTGCTCTGAAAAATATTAAACACTAAAATTGTGGCTGAGAGCAGTGGAAGCAAGTCGAAATAACCTAGATACCGGACCAACAATTGTAAGTAGAGGCGTACCGTTTCACTACTTGAATGGGTGACCGACGCTGAATCCAAGCCCTCACCATTGCTTACAATTTTTTTTGACGTCCAGTGTAGAAAAAAGACTGGTGCTAAAACAAATTTATAAAATAAAAAAGAAAATAACATTCAAACCTCTTTATTCCGTTAACCGTCATGTGGTTTTATTAAAATTAACCGATTTTTAACGAGCTTTTAACACAGTATGAACGCTGACTACTATTTCCCATTTTTCAATCTCCCATTCCCATTCCTATTCCCCATTCATACTCCTTATTCCCACTCTATCCCTGTTTTCGTACCCTTTAGTATTAAAACATCCTTTTTTCAAACGCTGACTGTATTAATCATAAGTATAAAAAATGAAACAAAGCATGTTCAAACACAAAATCACGATTAAATGGACAGGGTCATGCATATTTACCGGATTTTCTGTTGAGCAGAACTGAATGGCAGTTACATTCCTTTCATGATTGACCTCGAGACGGAAGTTGGTAATATTTATTTGACGTAGTAGGTTTAACTCGTTTACTCATAGTTGCAGGACAAAAATGTCGCTGCTACAGCGGCAACTTGGTCTGTAGTGTCAGCAAGAAGTTGAACAAATAATAATACCAATTATATAAAACAAGACATTTCTTTCTTCTACATGCACTGTGTCTTCCAGTAATTGCGCAAGCCAATAAAACTAGTATTTATTTAGCCTATTCGTTCTAAAATTTCGACAGCAAGGTAATTTAAGCATAACGACTTCTGCCGTTTCGTCCCGAATTCGTGTCCTTCATGTGCATTGAGGTTGAGTTCAGACGACGAACAAGCGCTACTCGAATTAAAACATGTCCAAAGAATCTTCTTGGTTAGTGTCAGCCTACAACCGCGTGGCTAACAGCCAAACATGCAGTCTAATGAAGGTAAATGCAGTGTGTTTACCGAACAATTACGACAACAAATTAATACCCTTGCATTTGTCGAACCTCTTCAGTATGTCCGCTTGAGCTCATGATTAACCATGACTAAAGAAGAATACTTTTCATCCTCAATTACAATATCCTTCACTTCGATTGATAACACCACTTATATTTCCTCTGACTCGAGCTCACATGATTACCGCATTTTCCCTCGCGATCGGCTAAACGGAATGAGATCAAACCATTTTTAGGGAACCATCTTGAAAGCAGGAAGGAGACCCATTGCAGCACTTATAAATTCTGAGACTTGAGACTTGGCCAAACAGTTCAAATCGACATACCTTAAAGTTTGAGTAGAATACCGTTTGTCCCAATTTTAACAAAAGTAGACAAATTCAACGCGCACAGCTCTGAGAAGAGGCTCTAAAACTGGAGGCAAAGCATGCGGTATACAGACATACTGGAACTGTGAGTGCAATGGCCGGTTGGGTGCATTCGGAAAATGAGGATTTAAATTTTGAAATCTGGATTTTGGATTTGCAATAAAACACAACACGAACACTTCTTTTCTTCTACATTTGAGGCCCAGGAAAAAAACGTACGCTTCAGTAAAGAAGGTCAAGATGAAACATCGTAGCTGATGTGCCGGGAAGAACAATTGAAATACCATATGAGTCCTAGAGATCACTTCAGTGCTCAAGATTGTTCAAGAGCCCCAGGATTGGGGAACCTACCATGCAAAGTGCAAAATGAGGTTAGGGTTGGTCTTAGTGAGGCCCAGAACGAAAACGTCCAATCAGAACTCCATACCAGAAAAATAGCTCTAAATTTAAGGTCATCGGAAACTGTATCCTTCGAAAAGAGGTAACAAGGCCAATGTTATACATAAAGCTCATTGCAGGTGAATTTAACCATTCTTTTTAGTTTTCATTTGTGAATGCTAGAGGAGCTGAAGCATCAGCGTCCCTGACCTTGGCTCGACAACCAACTGGCGACAACGAATAAACAGTGTGGACAAGAAGACGCTGCCACTTATGGTCCTGTTGGACCCCCCTGTGAAAATTTGGCAGCATCAGACTACAACAAATTGAATTCACTGGGGTCCCTATCTCAACACTACAATGGTTCAAGAGCTACGTATATTCATGATTACCAGAAGTTAAAGTACTAATTGCCTCTGAAATGTCTGTAATGCGTTAATCTACACAGGTTCCACAAGGATCCATTCTTGGACGGCCTTGTTTGATGTTTATATCAACAATTTGCCTGGCTTTCCATGCTACTGCTCATTAGAATTAGAATCCTACGTACTATTCTATCACAAAAAGTAGCCTTTCAAACTTCCTTGATTATTTTTCTAAAAGTATACTAGAAAGTGCTGCTCTAACGCCTTATGAAAGTTTGAATTGTAATGATATTAATTGCAAACCAACAATAACACCTGACGGTAGCCTGAGTTAAAAATCACTGAAATTTGTCCCAGTAAATAGCGAATGCGAACTCAGGGCACACATCCTGACTCGTCTTCAGTCAACACTTTTGATTTGTAATTGTCTGCGAGAGACCAGAAACAGCAACGGAATATTCCGGAGGGGGATGCTCGTCGCAAAATTGTGATTTAAAAATCCCTAAATCTCACCTACAATGTGAAGGAGACAAATCTGAGCGTGGCTCAGGCTTTCTTTCCCACCTAAAGGAGACTATACTCTAACACAGCATGACGGCATTTGCGATGGGGGGTGGGGAGACTACGCTAACACAGGTTGTTTGGGCAGTCGTATGAATGGAAGACCCTCCCGAATTTTTCGGTAGCATTTCCATAAAATGTTTAACTTCGCTAAATGGTTAGTGTGTTAATAGAGATGTGTTGCTACTTGTTGATCTAACTTGTTAATTATGTAACAGTTATATTTTCGTTTAAAACACATAATAATACACATAATCTTGGGATTCCTTTGGTACTCAAGGGCGACCTTTTGTGGTACTCATTTCGTCGTACGTCTGCCTTTTCTGCGCTATCTTGAGTAACTTATCTCGCCGGGCACAAAAATGTTAATTAACAGTTAATGAATGAGGCTGAGTATCTTAATATGAAGAATTATGGAGATCGAGGAGGGTGTTATCGATAACACCCTCCGAGATCTCCATAATTCTTCATATGATACGAAAGCCGAATTCAATTTTTTTCTTGTTCAGTCAAAATAATTCCTAGTCTAAAAACAAGGCTAAAACATTCTTACCTCCATCGATTCATCGACGTTAAGTTCATCTTCGATAGTGCAATTTTAGCGTTGTTAAGCTCCGCAAATATTCTCCAAATAGCAGATATCGCCCTTCGAGTTGTCTTCTTGCTGTTCTTGCCGTGTTTTTAGCTATTTTTTCGCCTAGTTCTTACTCTTGAAACGAGTGAAATGTCCGCCACTTTTCAAGTTTACAACCAAAACAACTCAACCTCGTCCCCAGGTCTTCTCGGTCAACGGTACATTAACCCGCAAAAACACTGCATTTTTGACGTCATTTTGACACTAAACACAAAATTCTTCCAAATTTAGTCATCAGAAACTGGTTATGGTGAATTAAACGTGTGCTTTTAGCCAATCAGAATCGGGGAAATATTTTGAATGAATAATAGATGTAATTAATTTGACACATAACCTCAGCAATGGTTGCGTGGGTCAATGGATAATGCGTTACCATTACACGTCGAAGGTTTCGGGTTCAATTCCTGCCGGGTGATACTGTTTTCTTTTTTTCGTAGTCGTTTTGTTCCTTTAAAAAAAAAAACATATAGGAAGCGTTTTGCAGCATCAATTTATTAGGAAATAACAGTAAACCTAAAAAAACTCGAACGCACTTCCTAATCCGAGATTACTACTAGTATAGATTAACTAAACTGTGTTTTAGGTACTTTCTTTAGGCAATTTTACTGAACATCATTGTTTCTTGTAGATTTTGAATGATCTAGTCTTTCAAAATACGTTTGCAATTGACGGACGTTTCAGGCTACTGTTGTCAATTATTCTTAAACTTCGATGTTCAATATTCTTTATCAGACGTTTGGGTGTCTGACCAACCAAGACCAAGTCATCCGCAGTATGTGCAAATTGGTAGAATCAAAGTGTTGTAGATTGTTTCAGCGCATTTTTGATCCATGGACGGGTGCATTGATCATAAAAGTATAAAACTTTAACTCTTCCTGCTGCTCTCCTGTAAATTTATCAAAACATGATGTAAGGTTCATCGGATTTGGGTCTAGGTCGACGCCCAGGTTCTATAGAAAAACGTATTTGTCGATGCGTGTGCCTTAACAGAGATGATCAGTCCCTTTCCTTGAAGGTTTTTTGATTATTTTTTGAGTTCCCAAAAGCATACTCTCCGTCTTCCCTTTTTCGAGGTTGATGATCAGTTCACTTTCTTCAAACCTGAGTGACATAAATTGTTTATGTCTTTCACTGAGGTTTTTTTAGATCGTATCAATGTCACTTCTTGCAGAAGTATAAATTACAAAGTCATCGGCGTCAGGTGTTGCCTCCCCTGAGGCACACCTGTAAATACTGGTTGAGCTTCTGATAACACACCTTTATACCGAACAGCCTGTGATCTACAAGAGGTAATCAATGAACCACTCCAGTTCTGTTCCGTGGATTTCATAGAATGGAAGTTTTTTCAGACGACTAGCGTGACTTATAGTATCGAAAGCCTTGGTCAAATCGATAATACACAGCTTGTCAAATTTCCAGTTTCAGCTTGTTTTCTGATGGCATCAGTGAAGTGAGTAACTGTACGCTAATTCTCTTCAGAGCGATTACGACGGAAGCCATACTGAAACTGAGAGAGCACGCCATTCCGTCGTCTGCTACAAAGCCGTTTTGGTTGTCGTCACGCAACCCTC